CATCCCCGCTCAAATGACCATTCTCAAATGACCAATGAAAGAATAGACTGGCAGTTAAATTACCATTTACCAAATACACATTTTTCACATTGCATTCCTGGAATAAGCTAATGTCCGGTTGGGAACGCACTTGGAAGGAATTGCAAGCCTCCCCTGGTGATGCAAGCTGCGTTCACCGGCTGCTTCTGCTCTAAAGGATTTTCGTGGTTTTTATTCCCTGAAATCTGCGGCATCATAGGAGTACCTTACGCACCATCCGAACTGACAGATTCCTGGAGGATGGAATCTCCAACACAGTCGTAGTACGCTGCGTCGTCCACTGACTGGCTTGCGACCGACAAAATGCCCCCATCCCTCATTGGTTTGCTTATGTTGCACGTGATACAATAATTGAGGGAAACACTAGAACCATTAACAAGCATAAAGAGTGTGAACTCAAAAATTACCTTTTGGGAGGTGTGAACACTGTACAGTGACCTGCGATAGACCTGCTTATTACCTTATCCAGGGTAACGCGCTCTGACTTAACGATTTGGGATGGGAGTAAGAATTGTAAATTTTCTATATGTGCACAATTCCGCCATCAAGCGGGCCCTCCGATCTCAATAAGTGCCAAAACTGTGGTAGTGACTTTGACTACGGAAGTGGGACACATGTGTACCACCAGTAGTCAAAGATTAACTTACGCAGGATGACTCGCTTTAGCTTCTGACGATTAACTGTCATAGTAAGAATTAGAAAGCTTCTATATGTGCACAATTCAGCCATCAAATGAGCCCTCCTGCCTCAATATTCCCTGGAACTGTGGTAGTGTCTTTGACTACGAAGTGGGACACATGTGTCCCACCAGTAGTCAAAGGGTTAAGCGGATCAGAGAATAGGACTCTGACCATCAGGACCTTGAGACCCTATCGGTCCTCCCATCTCTCCTAAGAAACTAACCAATGAATTGGTGCCACGCTTGGAAATGCAGGGAATTAGCTTAATTAAGCTAGCCTTAGCTTCTATTTACGTGCGTCCGCCAAGCCATGTGATCGACAGTCAGGATTATGCCATTATGAAACTAAATGGCGCTTCGTAGCCTACTATTGCACTTGTTTTTTTAAGAATATTCCATGCGAAAACTACTAATGCTTCTGTTCAGGTTCGAATACACAGCGTTCATTGCTGCAACCCGCTATCAAAACAACGAAGTGACACAACGCAGAATTTCTCACAACCCTTTTGCTAAAGGGTTCCGGGAAGGACGGAAGGAGACCGAAAATGGACGTCAACCAGCGCACTGTTCAGCGAGCCTTCTCCGAAACGTATCTCACCTATGTCCGCTGATGTACTCATCACCGTTCAATAAATTTCATTTACTTCTTTCTATGCGAATGTGGTTACATCTCAGATGACAAGTTGTTACGGTCTTTTGTGAACAGACGGTTCGTGAACAAAAGAATAACTTGTGACGATGATTACCCATAATATGCTCCTAAAACAAGGAGTCAAATAGCTTCAATAATCGTGCATAACATAAACCACAAAAAATAAATTTGACTCCGTAGGCTGAGGTGGAGGTAAAAAGTACGCCATATAGACATAAGTGAAAAAGCATAGACAGCTCATCATTTGGTTAGTACAGAAATGAGGGATGGTCACACACGAATGTCATAGTGTGAAGTGTCGGTAGTATGAAGTATATCGGTATACTCTGCGCAGTGATGTGCTCATACTACAGGTAGAATAGAAATGATCTGAAACTAGTGGCTTAAGTGCAAGCTTGTTTAACATTTAACATAGAACATACCTATGGTTCGACTTTCCTTCGAGATAGGCGAGGTACTTTTTACCATTCATCCTATACGCTGTCAAAATATCCTATTATGAACGAGAACCAAGATAAGTGACTAAAAAACAGGTGAGAATAGGGTAGACCTACAATTGCTGATCGGGTACACAAGAAGGTAGCGGTGATGATTCTTTAGAGATGTTCCTTTTCTTCTTTTGAGATCTCTGCAAACAAAACTGTCTCATCAGTACGGCATCGAAGATACTTCATAGAATCAAACACTTCTTCAAGGCACTGGTTGACTTGTTCGTCCGGTATCTTCGGAATTTTCAAAATGTTACAACGAAGTACGGCGTAGTTCTAGAAAAAAGCACTTTTACGTACTCGCAAAATTTAGAAAACACCATACAGATTATTTTATGAACAAAACTGTTTGAGTCCAAGATATCGGTTTTGGATAGACGGTCAGCAACGATGGAGGGACCATTCCGAGGATTCCTATACTGGGTCGAAGTTTTCCACATAATCTTCTGCTTGGTCTTGCATTCCTATTGTGGTTCTACCTATAACGAGACAAATATTGGTCGAATCCCCTATTGTACGTACATATAAGTGAATATCACCTGAAGAGGCATAAATGAGACATGCATAAGCTTCTAAACATTCATATTCCTACCCACTCACTAGTAAAAAGACACAAGGACGCCATGATTTGTACCTTAACTATTTCCATACGGAGCTGACACTTGAGCGACTTTTGGACTAATTCGGCAGTACTCTGGCGATGTTGCACCGACTTGTGCACTTGTAACGCAGCTCTAGATGTATGTGATGAACTGAAATCATTACATTTGTAAAATTCCGAAGCTTTCGATACTGCTTCGTGCTTTCTCCTTTCCTTCTTGATTTTCTCGATGTCGTCCTTTGTATACCAATGGTTCGAAAATAGATGATTGTACAGTTTCGCTCCAGTGCTTAATTCTCGACCGCACCCTTACATAAGATACCCACTACCTGAGAAATTCCAATCTAAACAATAATCATGTGGAGAATTCAAGCCAAGGAAATCTGTAGCGCAACATAAAAAATCAAAGGGATATGTCACATGGTAGAAAGCTTGGTCCGGCTCATCTCAATACAATTTCAATACAATGCAATACAATTTCATATTAGATAGTGTTTCTGTTCCTCATCACTATTGCTAATTTATGGGTTGTGTACTTCGCATTTTACCGAATAGCCGCAATTAACATAAACTCTTTTCTGACCCTATGTTTACGTGATGTTGATTCGGAGCTATTCAAACCAACTTTTTTTCCACCTATGTATCTTCTGCGGGAGAGGGAACTTAGTCAGTCGTGGCCTTTCACACCTCCTCTCTGTCACTATCTTGCACCTTCCTCTCACTCGCTTGTGGGGAGGCCTTCCTTAATTGGGTGCGCTGACTTCTCACCTCATCTCAGAGAATTGATTACTGAATTGGTTTTTTATATATTATATGCAAAATATGCATACAATGCCACCTTGATTTTTTACATTACAATGAAAAATTAGAAATAAGAAAGTGAAGGAACTCCAACCAGCTTCATGTGCGATTTCAACAGTCTCACAATTGTGCTAGTTCCCTCGTTCAGATTCATCTTGCTAGGAAAATTACTTAATCTTTTTCAATATAAGCCATTCGTCTACCTTTGGCCAGTATGCATGATCACAGCGTGCCCACATCTTCTCTAAGACATTTTAATCTTTATCACTTGTACTTTCAAAATTGCTGTTACATCTTTAAACCATGATTGGTTCTTGGATGCATGATTTCACGAGTGCCCTATGACATTCATAAAACACTTTTCTGTTTTCGATATTTTCTCTTTTACCGATTTACCACGAAATTTAGACCAGTTTCTAGAATAAAACAACGTACAATTTGTCTTTTTTTCAGAGGAACCAGGTTTCAGCTCGCAGTTCAACCTTTCTGGGAAAACGTTGAGAAATTTTCAATTTTTCTGATCACCTTTGGGACGAAAAATAGAAAATACTGGGAGAATGTTGGAGACTAAAAGTGATCGTGGCTGCGGCGCATATTATCGGTGAAACACGCCTTTGAACGAGGAACTCACAATCACCTGAAACGGACTTAACTTCAGTAACTTCTCACGACTCGAAAAAATTCGTATGAATCTGGAATCTGCAAAATTTTTGTCTTCTAATACTCTCTAATGCTACCCTGAATGGAGAATCTCCTTTTGTGCGAAATGGAACGAGCTAAAACTTCAAGCAATTCGAAAAATCCGAAGACCGAATGTGTGCTTTCTTATGCAAGCCAAAACATCCTGAAAAGTGGCTTATTTGAAAAATTTTTCATAAATTTTTCTTCGCTTTAGTGATCCCTCACATAAGACAGCTTACTAGTAAAGTTATACACTGTTAACAGCCTGAACGGCTCCAACGTAGAAAATGGAGGGAACAGAACACCTTTTAAAAAACCGTTCTTCTCTCAATCTTCTTCATACAGTCATATATGAAAGACTGAGAAAAGAATGGTTGAATAGCCGTCGCTGTTCGCTTCATTGAACGAGTAATATGAAGCGAACAGCAACGGCTGGAACGGCATTTCGAATGACGTGAAAAGGTGAGGAACTAGTTAAAGCGTCGACTAAATGCACGATACATTTCCAGAATCTTCCGAAAGCGTTTGCCGTCAAGTACAACGTAGATTGTGTGCGCGCGCCGATAATGCATCTCATTTGACGCGCTGTCCCGATTACGGTAACATCAGCCTAATGCTGAAGTTACATTCCTGTCTAAAATTACAGTAGCCAAAAACTTTGTTACAGCGTAGTGCAAAAACATGGTCTGTCTTCGATGATCGAACATTCCTGAAATCCCAAGGAGAACAAAGTGTAGAGCAGTTCATGGGGAAGTGAACAGTACAATGCAACTCAATCACGATACTAACACCTTCTTCAGGAAAGCTGGAGGACATTCAAATGCGAGTGCGACCCCTAAACACAGACAGGTGCACGGAGTGTATCGAGCAGACGTTTCCCCACAAAAACCCCTCCTCTGTGTGGCCGTGAGCAAATGCACATCCCTGTTGCCGTTTTGAACATGTTGTTAATAGCAGCACGTTTGACGGCAGTAGGATGCGCCGATGTCGCGTGAATCAAGATATTCTTCGAGCTGCTTTTACGGTACCACTTTACATGTGCGATGCCACTGGATACTTTGACCTGCGTGTTCAAATAGGGTAGCCAACCGTCTTTAGGTGTTTCGCGTGTCAGCTTGATATATTGTGACTGCTCATTCATCAAGCGGAAACACTCATCCATTTCGGATTGTGTTGATGTTATTATGAAACAGTCATCAATATATCTACAGTACATCAAAGGTAAGCGCTCCAACACCGGCTCTTCTATTTTACCCATGAAGCAAATAGCGAGAACTGGTGCAAGGCGCTGACCCATGGCAAGCCCTCTAATTTGGGATAGTACGTACCTGCCCATTTGAAGATATTACAATTCAAACATTCCTTGATTAGAGTCATTATGTGCGCTTTATCGAGTCCAAAAGTACGTATACGAGTGATGTGCCTGTCAAGCATTTCTGACAATGCTTGCAAGGCTTGCTCGTTTTGGACGTTGGTATAAAGCGATGTAACGTCAAATGACTCCACTACAGCACCGTTTTGCAAATTGCAAGTGCGCAGCTTCTCAAGGAACTGATTCGTATTAGGCAGGTGAGAGGGAACCATAGGTAATAACTGGCTGACAATGCTGTTCAGAAACCAAGATATCCGGTCGGTTGGTCCCCCCACGCAGCTAATGATGGGACGAATCTTGTAAGTATCCGCTGGCAGTGCTAGCATGTTGTCGTGAGGAGCAAGCTTATGAGTCTTCAAAAGGCTATAGAAAACTGGACAATTTGGGTTGTCCAACTTGAGTCTACCAATGAATTTCTCATCAAGCCGTGCAGATTTGCCTACGCTCACCCAGACATGGTTAAGATGTCTGCACTGCGATAAGAATTCCCTCTCATCTACACGGCGATAAACAGTGGAATCCCGCAAGTGAATTTCGGTTATGGCACGATCCAGTGATTGTGACATAACAACAAATTCGCCACCCTTATCACTCACAGATATACGTATGGAACCGTTTGATCTTAACTCACGCAACTCTCTGAACCCTCGCCATTGATCGTATGTTAAGTTTGTGTTTCGAAATCGTTTGTAACGATTCAAAACAGCAAGAATACCTGTAGATAGTATTCTGAACTTAACATCCACTTCAAGTGATAGTCGAGGCTCTCTGTATAATGTGCGTGGAAATAGAAATGCTAAACCTCGTATGGCCAAGAAAATTTGTTAAACTTTTCTGGACAGTGATTTTCAACCATCTTCTACAGGTTACTATCCTTGCCTCCTACCTGTAGCGTTTACCTGATTCCTGCTTGGACTTACACCTCCACGTTGCCTCTACTCAAAAATTTTGTTCTACCGAATTCAGTGATGCATGGTCAGCTCGTTTTTTGGTTTTTTACAAATAACAAACCCTATCTTGCCTGCTATACTGCAAAACAATGTTGTGCTATTACCTAGCGAGACCGTCAGCCAGTGTTTCGTGAAAATATTTCCATATCCCCCACCATGCAACCTATTTCTCAAAATCTTCTAACGAAAACAACGAAAAACAGATGAACACCGCGATACTCCAGTAGTACCTTGACTGGGTTTGAGATTTTTTTTGATTGATTTTTATGACCGTTGTTTGTTTTTTCCGCAGGGTCAAGCGAGGCGTCGAGGAAAATTTGGAAATACGACCCCCCCCCTCCCTCCGCCAGAGGCCGAAGTCCATGAAACGACCCTCTTCAAAAGCCGAACTATGAAAAGGTTGTTTAATTCTCCCCCAAAACTGTTCATAAAAAAGCCCTGCTACCCCACCGTCCACCAAAAAATTCGTTTAAGAAGTACAAAAGTGAAAAAGTCAAAGAATGATCATTATTGATGAGTCCTACCAAACGAAAGTTGAAAGAGGCCTTGTAAGCGCCTTAGCCAGCCGTGTGTTGAGTGGACTTTGGCGTTGATTGTGGAGCAGCTTATATCTACTATTGAAATTTGAACAAATCCTACTATATATAATTCGCTAAGTATGTCTGTGTGTGTGTGTGTGTGTCTGTCTGTACGTACGTCCGTCTGTCACGAAATTCATAGCGCGCTTCGCTGCAGGCATGGAACGCTGTATTTTGAGTATGGTGTAGGGGTGGGACGGCAACATATTTGGTGGGGTTTATAAAGTGATACGACTGATAAGATCTGATAAGAGGCGCCAAAACGCAAATTTCACGAAATTCATAGCGCGCGTCCCAGCAGCAGTGGGGCGTTGGTTCCAAGAAGTGATGTACAGGGTGGGACGGGAACATATTTGGTGGGGTACAGAAAGTGATAACGGCTGATAAGGGCTGATAAGAGGCGCTGAAACGCAAATTTCACGAAATTCATAGCGCGCGTCCCAGCAGCAGTGGGGCGTTGGTTCCAAGAAGTGATGTACAGGGTGGGACGGGAACATGTTGGTGGGGTACAGAAAGTGATAAGGGCTGATAAGGCTGATAAGAGGCGCTGAAACGCAAATTTCACGAAATTCATAGCGCGCGTCCCAGCAGCAGTGGGGCGTTGGTTCCAAGAAGTGATGTACAGGGTGGGACGGGAACATGTTCGGTGGGGTACAGGAAGTGATAAGGGCCGATAAGGGCCGATAATTACGATATTCGAACATAGAGACCACTTAAAACCATATTCTAGATAACGCATTTCACTTCAGTATCATCTCATTGCGTTGT